TAATATTAAAAACTCATCTTTATTTAATGATTTTTATTTTATAATTTAATATAATTTAAATTATAAAACAATTTTTTTTATTTATTGACAGTTACATTTTTTTCCTTAACCATATTCAAATATTCAGATGAGCATGGTATGATAAAGTAAAAATGTGTTATGCATTTCTGATGGCATAATTTAGCCATTGAATGAGATGTGGATCTTCTTATATCAAGGTTGTCCCTTTGATGTTAGACATAAAATAAAAAACTCTTATAAATCAATAAAAAAATATTTTTTTTATGAACCAAAAGTATTATTAATAAAGAGAGTACAAAGGGTACTCAACCATGCATTACATCAAAAGTTTAATAAAAAATTAAAAATCAGTTGCACAATGAAGTGAGAATTGACACTAGTCCACGAAATTGAACTATTTTTCTTTTAATTGTAGCTAAATATATTAAACAGTTTTTTGCCTTAAATGTTTAAAATTTTATGATCCAAACTAGAAATTTCCCAACCATTATTATTTTGTTATTGGGGGGTTGTTTCAGTATGTCAAGCAAAGAAAAGATTTTTAATTAACATCCAATGGCATTTTTGTAATAAATCATGAGTACTCTCTGCAGCTTCATTTTCAGACTTTTTTTTTTCTAATTTTTTTTATAAAAAAGAAAAGATTAACTTGCATGAGGAAGACTGTGCTCCAACCATGGGAGTGGATACTAGCACACGCCGATTTTGTTAAGACGAGATAATTTTATTTAATTTGATTATTAAAAATAATTAATAATTAATAAAATAATTTATATTTACTATTTAAGAAATTAAAATTAATTTATAAATTAATATTTTAAATATTATCATTAATTATTTGAAATAATTATAAATTAATAAAATATTACTTAAATTAAATAATTTTTATATGATCTAGATAACGACAACCACAGTTTTAAGACATGTGAGGATTTCTTATTATATATATATATATATTTATTTATTCCTTTAGAAAGAAAGTTAAACAAACTCCTAGAGTACGATAACTTCTAGGAATGTGAGATAACACTCCTCTTCACATTTAGGCCAGGTAGAACAAGATAAGATGAGATGAGCCAAATGCTCGCACTTGTGTTAAGGATTTAAGTTTTAGGATTAATGTAGACAAAATAATTTTTTTTCAAATATGTATTTTTTATTTTAATTGCATAATGTGCGGTAATCATTTTTCATTTGTTATTTCACTTTACTCGTATGCTATGTAACTAAAATGTAAGATCTTTTATTTTTAGCAAAAAAGAATAATCACTAAATTATTTAGTTCGTTAGTAATTTTTTTAAATATATTAAATTGATGTAAAAGTGTATTTTTAAGATACTTGAAAAATGATTAATCATAAATTGTAAAACACTTTGATTGTTCGAATCAAAAAATAAAAAAGAGCAATAGTGATAGTTGGAGTGATCTAATTGAATGTGAGATCACGCAAAAAACTTCAAACTTAACCGATCTAGGATGACTATGTTAATTTTTTTTTTCTTTGGATAGAAAGGATGAGTATGTTAATTAATTGCTATTCATGGCTATTTACTTAATCTGAAAACAAATTTAGAAGCTCAAGATTGGTTGTACATTGTGATATGGTGCAATTTTAAACAAGTTTGACAAAGAAATACTTGTCAATAGTATTCTTATTTACAAATTATTACATTTGTATAAGAAACAACGTTCGATGCCTTAACACACAATAGATGCTAAAAATTTGGGAAAATTAAGAGACTATTTATTATAGTAACTTAAAATTAACAATAAATAGTTTTATTTACACTATTTATTTTATGATTTATAATAATGATTATTATTAATTCAAACACTTTTATTTATTGAATTAGATAAAACTATTAATTGTTAATTTCAAATTACTATTCTAAACAGCCCTTAAAATAAAATAAAATAAAAAGAGGTCAAAATCAAGAAACAGAAAAGGGATAAAGTGAAATCCTAAAAAAGGGAAAAAGATGAACCAAAAATGAATTATTCTCCATCCTGGGTTGAAGATCTCCAAAACTCAAAGTTCATCATTCTTACTTGTTCTGAGTAGGATTTGGAACGCTCGCCGGTGCCTTTCTCAGACTTGGCTCCACAGCTTTCTTGGGCTCTTTTGCAGCGGCGGCTCCGGTCACCGTGTTCCCACTTGTAGAGAACGAAGCCATGGATCCTAGCAGCCTCCTCGGAAAATTTCTTTCTCTTGGAGGAAGTAGTGGAACATCTTCACGGTAGAAACATAAGGAATTAGAGGAGGTAATTAACGTTTGCATCAAAATGAGAGCAAAGAGGGCAGCTAAATTTCTGTAATTGATCTTCATGAGAGTGGAAATTGTTGAAGGAGAGATCAAATTAAGATTCAAAAGATGGAGGAGATGGAGGTGGGTTTATAGGGGATGGGAGCATGCGTGTTCTGTTCACGTGGTTGGTCATGACTCTTGTGCAATTTTATATTTTAAAAAGGAAGAAGCATTTGGCTTTATTTCTGCAATTTCCAATATGGGTATAAGTATGCCTCCATGTTTCTTTACATGGTTAACAAAATATCCTATCTCATAATTGAGTTTTATTTTGTAAGATATATGATATTTATGATTAGAGTCTTTACAAATAGTGGAGTTTATGAATGGTTATATTTATTCACTCGTTTAATAACATATATTATTAATTATATAATTTTGTGTTTTATTTGAATAATTTTTGTCACATATTATTTAGAATATAGTTTATATTGTATGAAATTATAAAATATGAATTATTCCATGGACAAAAACTCCTACTGTCATCTCTCCCTTTAAAAATTTTAAATTTAATACGATTTAAATTGCACCACACTTTTCTATTATTCACATATTATTCACATATAAAATAATATAATTTCAAGTGTTAACAAAGGGAGCAATAGAGAATTTGAAACTTAGTAAGATTAACTTGTACTAGTTGCTGTTAAAAAAAAAAAAAAAA